ATACTAAAAGGGATACTTACTATATACTGTCATACTGTAATACTAAAGGGATACTTACAATATAGTGTCAGTAATTATATACGTTATATATTCGTTTATTTATACTGTACTGAACACATGATATTGATTCCTTTTTTCCTTGACCCGGACGCGTCCCCCACCGGAATGACAGGACACAGGACAGTGCTGCGCCACGGGGCGCCAGTCCTGCGCCGCAGGCCGCCGGCCTCGGCGGCTTCACTGTGGCATGGGTTCAGGCATCCGACACGCTGATCAGCTATGGGCGAGAGTTCTCCATCCCCAAGCAGGTGCCGGAGTCGAGCTGGCTGAGCGGAGCGCCCACTCGGTGCTTAAGATACAACACGATAGTGCCGGAGTCGAAGCTTAGGGAACCGGAAAATCGGAAAACCATGCAAGACATTGCAAGACGATCTTCCCCTGCAAACATGTCCCGTTTCCAGGTTCTATGTTGAACTTACACGGTGTACAGTGGAAAGTATGCATTGGAACGAGTGACTGTGCACGCCAGAAGATATTATCCATTCAGTTCTGTGGAATCTACAATCCAGTTTACTCTGCAAACATTTGCAAGCCATTTCTGTGACACATAAGACATAAAGCAATGAAACCAGATCTATTGAACGCACTCGACACAGGTTTTTTCCACGGACCAAAGATGTGTCAATCCGTTGCGCTCCTTGGCCATGTCGAGGTACAAGCCATGCGCCATCATGGGCATTGGTTCCGGGCCGACGGCGAATATGCTGCGCTGGCTGGTGATTGGGACTGGAGTGTGTTGATGTGGGAAGGTCACTGAAGAATCTGGCACCACCCAGGGATGGTGATGTGTGGCTGGACACAGGGTGATGATACCGGGTAACCCGGTATGTGGCTACAGGTACTTACAACTGATGGTATACGTGGGTTTGAAATGCTTTCTGCCAGCTGTACATTGACAGGCTCCCTTGTTGATCAATTTGAATCAAATGTCTTCGAACATGGAGGATGTTTGAACTCTGGATCAATTGGACCAGATTAGCTCGACATGGCGTCATCAACTTTGTGTTCTAGCATACGTTTAAGTGTTCCTGCACAGTCCCGCTGGCCGGCTGGTTCAGACTTGGACATGAATGGCTTCCACTGGTTGGTGACTGCGGGTGAGTGAGGGTGACTGCACATGAGCTGGTGTAACTGAGTGGTTTGTTTCTTTTTTCCAACTCCGGGGAGGAGCTCTTCTATTCCAATGGCTTTCGCACCGTGTACCACATCATGGACACCGGAGAGGTGCGGCCTAGCGCGCCGGTGCTGCGGTCGGTCGGGAAGACATGCGGTGGGCGAGGCACGCAACACCTGGCAGATGCCAATCACCGCGGGACATGGCGAACAGTCAATAGTGGTGAATGTCATCGATTTGATGCGGAACCGAGACTTCTGAAAAATGGTCGGGAACTTTGTGGAAGGACAAAAAGCATGGGAAGGGAGTTTGGAAGATTGACAACGCCAAGTCACCAAGTCCGTGTCAGAGTTTTTCTTCGACTGTCAGATAGTGCACCACTTTGATGCTGACGAACTCACTCAAAAATGCCGTCGCAAGAACAGTTGTTGTGGATCACCTGCCTTTGACTAGATGGGGCACTAGGATTTCTATAGTTTTATCATGTTTTATCAGTTGCGGTCTACATTAATTTATGATTATTTCTGGGTGCCTTGAGTACTACAGCGAGTAGGGACAAAACCAATGAATAAATGTGCAGATGTATAGCTGAGATGCCCAGTAACAACATTCCGTTCCTTCTCTTCAGGCTCGTGCCGATACTTGATTTGCTATTTGCTGAGTAGCCTCAACACAAAGCCCAAAGAAATAATCCTTCTTCCACATCTAGCGGCCAGAACTATGAGAACGGCCAACGAATCCAGTCATGCCAACGGAGATCCTTTTCTGGATTCACTTGTTACTGATGTTTCTTAATTTCCACAAAAAAGGGGATTCTCATTCAGTCACTCTCTGTGTTTTTGGATTCACTCGTTACTGGCGCTGGCTTCCAGGTGACAGCTTCCAGTTCGGATGGCCAAGGAGAAGGCATGTTGGAGGCCAGCTTCACGAGCTGCAACACGCCCGCTGTCCACGCCCTCGTGGGTGGGGTTGGCAACACGCAAACGCTTGGTTGGGGACGCCCAACACGGTTACCCTCTGACTCACTAACATGGAAGTGGACAACCACCTGTTTGTAGAGGAAAATAGTGATCCCAGTGGCCATTTTCCATTTCCATGTTAGTAAGTCGGAGCGTAGTTATGACATTGACTTTGCCAGACTTCCAAAAGCTTTCACTGAGACTAAGCAGTGGGTCAGATTGCAAGTGGTCTAGATCATGGTTTTTTCAATGAAACAAACATAAACATAATTAATTAACAAAAATGAAATTAATATAAACAACATGAAATAAATATTAAACAAATGAACTAAATATAACAAAAATGTAATAAATATAAAAAATGAAAAAAATATCAAAAACATCAATTTAAATCATTTTAAAAATCAAAAAAATATTTTTAAATCTTAAAAAATCTCAAAATATCTCAAATCATCTCACAAGCCGGGGTTCGTGGTAAAGGGTTTCGGAATTACAAAATAATTTTCCAGGAGCAAAATCTTAAAATATCTCAAAATATATCAAAACATCTTTAAAATCTTAAAAATGAAAAAACATGAAAAACATATGAAAAAATCTGAAATTTTCTGCAAAAATCTGAAAAAAAAACAAAATAAAAAAACATAGAAATATATGCAAAAACACTCTCGTGGTGAGCGTTGTCTGACAGGAACAGTCTGAGATTCTGCAGACTGTTGTGGTCTCAGACGCTTGCTTGCTTGTGGCAAGTGTGTTCAAAAAAGGACACATTGTTGTTGTCACACATGATCAATTGTGCGTCAATGGGCTGCTGAAAATAGAAAAAGCATAGTTTTTTATTTGTTTCTGTTTTTTATGTTTTTTTTTTTGTGTTTTTCTGTGTTTTTCTGTTTTTTCTGTGTTTTTTGTGTTTTTTTGATTTTTTCCGTTTTTTTCTGTAAAAAATCATGTGCGATCCAACCCTTGCAGATCTGACCCACTGCTTAGTCTCAGTGAAGCTTGGTCAAACCAAAGCAACACAAAGCAACTGATCTTGGAAAGAAGCAGTCTGTAAAATTGTCCCATGTCAGGGCTTTTGAATGGTCTTGACTCCCAGTTTTGAGAGTATGATGAAGTATGAAGTATGCCAGGCCTGATATGAGCAGTATGATGCGAAACGTACTCCCATGCCATGGCGAGGAATTCGTTCCAACTCCCTTTGAGTTGGCGAGGGCATTGGATTCGGATTCATTGGATTCGCCCAAACGGGACCGGAGCTCATGACTCCCAGACGGCAGGAGCTTGCTATTCCAAGCTAGCTGATCGGTGGCCCTGCCAGTTAGATGACACAGGTAGAACCCTTGAGTATGTTTGTTTTTTTGACACACATATACACAAATAATATGAAACAGCATGTGTTGTTTTGTTGTTTTTGTTTGGCGTTGTTTGAAATTGACACACATTTGGATCACCTCACCCGGAAATCACAGGCCGAGTCGATGCCGCACGAAACTCGTCGTCGTCTTCGGCGCGGCGGTCGAGGTCCTGTTCGCAGGCCGCTTCAGTGTCTTGGGTGAAGGAGCGTGGTGTGAGGGTAAGGTCTCCTCAGTAGGGTGGTCAAAGTCGGAGGACCCTTCTTTAAGGATCATGTTCGTTCCATGATGCGCAATTGTTTAGTGCATAAATCATGTTTCGAGGACCATTCGTATCATCCGCCAAGGGTCTCACTTTCCACAACGATGCCACGTGAACCACTGTTCGTGAGTATGTCATACTGACCCTGGAATGAACAGAATATCTGCAGACATTCAGCTGCTCAGCCTCTTTCATTCAGCTGCCTGTAGACTTTTGGGTCTCAACCCGGCCTTCGGACGATCTTGATTGGCCAAGGCTGGCCTTAACAAAAGTCTCCCTGTCGAGGTCTCAATTTCTGTGAAGAGGTTCCCATACCATGAAACATCGCACCTGGACCTGGAGTGAGTTGAGTTGACCCGGACCGTGTCTGCAGCGATTTGAACATCATCTGCACATGCTTTTTTTTCCCAGCATTTTTGCCATTGTCACAGCTTGACTTGACAACTGTCAAGTCTTGAGGGACAAACTCTTTCATTGGCACTGTGAATCGACGCTTTGGTCAAACTTTCACTTCCAACTTTCGTTTCGTGGATCAACTGGAAAATATCCTGCTACGGCAGGATGTCCGTCATGAACCCCGTCACGAGGCCACCGCCTGCAGGGCATCCACCGGGGCGGTGTTTGGGAGCGCTTCCGCCTGGCGCGTGGGGGCTCCCCGGGCGGGCACCCGAGCGGATGGATGATGGATGCTCGAAGTATTCCGGGCGGGGGCATGTATTTTATCATCAGGAGACCAGCCCCTAGATTTGGATGTATTTAGCCGGGGATGAACATGGTGACAGTAACCAAGGCATTCAATTTTGTGTGTATATATATATATTCATATACACATACATGTATATGTTAAATGCTTGCTCACTGGAATTTCCCATGTCCTAACCGAGGAAGCATTGGATGTTGACAAGACCGCACGTGGATCAACACATTGTATGGATTTCTTGGGATGCTCCCAACCAAGGGGGTTGGGTATGTTTCAGTCTGTTTCTGTTTCCAATGGTTCACGAGGAAGTCTCCGTCATTTGAGTACTCATTCATGTGGTGGCCGTGGGTAAAAAATGGTGCAAATAGAAGATAAGCGAGATTCAGGAACACACTGACTTTTTAATAGCTGAACCTGTTGCACGCCAGGTTTGCTTCTGATGCACCAACACGCTTCTGTGAGGGTGGGTAAGTTGTGGGTTCACTGCTTCTGCTGATTGGAATTGCTCTTTTCAGTTTTGGATGTTCATTTGAGGATATTTGGAGAAGATGGGACATGATTGCAAATCCTTGCATTTGCCTAGATGCCCAGAAGAATGGACGCACCGGCGGTTTTGATGGACATCGGGAATCGTGAACCCTGGCAGTGGTGGGAAAACCCTCACGTTGCACGAGATTTCTCAAGTGAAAAGCCATGAAAAACATCGGAGTCCGTTTGGCTTAGCTTGGAAGGACTGTAGAGCAAAGAATCACCGGTAGGATGCTTGTGATCTTGTGATCTTGTGGGTGCATGGGCGTGGAGGTCGCGACCTCAGGTCCAAACCAGATGCAATTGCAGCATTGGCAACGAGCAGACGGGGACCAGGACAGCCGGGGGTAGTAGATGTGCAGTTGCGCACCCGAACATGGCCTTCGTGGGTTCATGGAACATGGCTAAGGGGTTGAAGATGTTCCTTTACTTCCAATTTTGATCTGTTTGGTGTTTCATTCTGGGGCCGGAATCAGAGCCGGAATCAATGACTTGACTTGAGCTAGGTGCTGTACCCATGCAAGGAATCATGTCATACAAGCGGGACACCGGAACCCATCGGATGAAAATCCTCAGACCACGGTTGAAGCAGGTAAACGTTATGTAGATAGTCAACATTAGTCACTAGTCAACTGGCAAGACTGATGATTTATTCAGGTTGTTCCCAGTTTGACTGGAGCTTACGCCCGTGGAGCATCAATTGAGAAGACAGTCCACATTGCCATATCCCCAGAACCCGTTGACAGGTGAATATATAATATATATGGTGAAATCCATTGGATTTGCCTCGTTTTTCAGAACATTTGCTTTGTAGGTCTGACGCACGACGCAGGAGGGTCAGGTGTGGTCCCTTTGAGGGGTAAACCGTCGGGATGCGTTACAATGTCCTTTCCTAGGAGCGACAGCATATGACAGCGTCATCATCCGACAGGTTCCCAGATGAATTGGAGCTCAGTCAGAGCCCATCATCGAAGTTCCTCAGGAACAACACTCTTGAAGATCTCGTGAAACAGTTTGGGAAGTTCCAGGACCCAGTTTGTAGTTCCTCAGTCGGCGCAGCTGAGGTCAAATCAGTTCAATCAGTTCCGCTGGTCCGGGAGGTTCCCTCCCATCGTAAGTGGCGAACAGGACGTGCTTGTGGCCGTGGCTCGAGGCTTTCGCCGATGGATGCCGCCTCCTGCAGGAGTGCCGCAGAAAACAGACCGAAACAGGACAGACCTGCAGAGCTTTCAATGCCCAGACACTCCATGGGACTGCCATAAATATATGCCGCCCCATTGACCCCCCTTTTTTCACCACCCCAACTGATCGGCAGTCCTATGGCAGTCCCAGACGGGTCGTGTCTGGGATGGTAGTCACTAGCCATAGTATCTATCCATATATATATATATAGGAGTACCCCACGAGACGTGGAAGGGCTAGCCGCGGGACGTGGAGACCTCCGAGCGCAACAAACTGGTGTGTGTGTGTGCCATATGGTAGAATCACAAAGCTATTGTCCCCATGAACTTGGTGGCATTTGGAGCAGCCTTCATTGATCCTTTTAACGGTCTTTCACATCCAATGTAGATTACTTCCATAGCTCGTACAACATCATATAGGTGTCATATTTCTTGTAGCCTTTCCTGCCTTTGCATCCAACAAAGCTCTAGATATAGGGAAATTGTATAGGGAATACCTAATATTAGATTGAGTCAGAAAGATAGGCTGATCTCCTAGTAGCAATTACTAGATTTTGACTCACTTTGCCTATGTATTCTGAAGACCAATATCAGGTATTTGGCTACCTTTAGCAACGATTGGATTTGCAGTCATGAACTTTTGGACTTACGAAGAAGGGTGTCACCGTTCCCCCTATGCACAGACAACCCTATACTATGAATACATCACCAACCATAGCTTGACTGGGAGAAACATATATATGATTGGTAAATGTATTTGTCCAGCCATTAACGAATTAGCTTCGATTCATCCAGACGATCTTTGGACGCAATGCCCTTGTTATCAAACATTTTATAGTTTAAACATGTCAAAGCCGCCGCTCCTACACCACCGACAATTACATTTATAGCATATTAAAATCATTATTGATTTACCCTGAGTCTTTGAAGCATTCATCAAAGCTGCAAGCAAAGTAAAAGCAATGCCATGCTGCTCGTCATGAAAACACTTGCATATCAAGGTATTATTGCAAGTCATTTTAGTATGTTCAAGGTAAATCATGCCAAAACATGTACCTTCATTAGTGGCAACTGACAACTGAAGTAAACTCATATATACACACACATGGTACCCCCCTTCCATAGAGGCCCACAATGACGATGCCCCTCAATTTTTTGACGAAGTGCACCCTTTTTCGCAGAGGAGGCACCATTTGTATACATGCAACGCAGGCATATTTATAGGGCGTTACCAACTCAGTGTCACTTGCAAGGCGACATCATTGCAGTATATCCAGATTTACGTAGTGACATTTTTTTTGTGGAGGGAACCCATGGTCGATCTGTCTAAGTCAAAGGTAAGTGGCAGCAGAGGGATCACCCTAGGATTCCATCCCCAGGAAATCCATAGAATGGAGGCAACGAGGATAAGCTGGCTGGAACGACACGCCAGGATGTGGCTGCCCCGGGCCAAGCCGATGGAATGCCAGGAGCCTAGTAGTGACTTAGTGGCAGCATGTACTGCTTCAGCAAAGGCCCCCCTGACCTTCGCCATTGTTGATCGAAAACAAGCTGGCTTGCTGGCCGAATAGAGCAAGTGCACTTGCTCGTTGATGTTTTTTATTCACAGATGGGATGGCTCAAAGATGTGTCCGATGCGAGGTTGCTCACCCTTCAGACGAAATTTCTGTGCTCGATGTCGGCGAACCAGCGTCTCTATAGACCATAACCTTTGGTAAAAGGGGGCTCTTTGACAGTTGGAGTTCAAGCGTCCTAATTTAAAACATCTTGCAAAAAGTCGAGCTGTATTTTTAAGGCTATATGATGAGAACCGCTTGACGCCTTCCGAGACTCTGAACTCCTGTGCGACAGCGGTGGCCGCTGTGTCCAACGAGCAGCGCAACTTGAGCCAGGCGAGAAGAGCGATGATTGCAGCACAAAGTGATGCAAGAAGTGCATAAAGGAAGGGTGTGCAGCCATGAACTCCCAGTGATCATCTCATTTGGTAGAAAGTACTCTCCCAATGAATAGCAGATTTACTTGGAGCTTTGCATGGGATTGCCGATGGTTCTATGCATGGGAATCCGGCACATGGTCGACTCACAGGTTTCTTTGCGACTTGAGTCTCTTTCTTCAATCCTAAATGACCATAAGCACTGCATTAATTGGCTTTCCTTGCATCAGTTGGACAGTTGGGGCACTTTAGGGGGCGAACTGACCTTCGATCTTCGTCATGGGGACGATCCAAATCACTGGTGCACTTGAGGTGAGTGCCGGTGAGTTTTCTTTTGGACCTAGGGACATGGGTGCCCAACCTACAGGTGTCCCGCTATGTCCTGACTGGGGAACCATCTATGTCCTTTTGCTCACCATCCCTCGCGGTGGTGGGCTGCTTCTTGGCATGCTTCATGCTCCAGAGGCTTGGGGAGGTGTTGACGCGTCACCGTCACGCCCCCCCGAGGGCGATTTCGGCCACAAAGCCCAGGTTTACAGAGTCTTTACGGATATCAAGACGTCTTCCATAAAGTGTACCCAAACAAGTCTAAGATCTTTCATCATTCCAGAACCCGTGCAGTCCTTGGCAGACCGGTCAGGAGGGAGTCTTTTTGGCTTCCGCACGCCGGTGCAGGTCAGTCCAGAGGCGCTCAGTACGAGGCGAGGAAGCTTCGACATCACCAGTGGCGCGTGGTCAGACCGCCAACAGGGCCCTTGCACGCCCGTGATGTGTCCCTTCTTTTGGGGCACGGATTGGTTCATGGGTCTTGCTCGAAAACTAAGGCACTCATGGCCGGGATTTCATCAATTGGGGGTGAGACGGGTTGTCATGTTGCCATGGGCTATGGATGAGCTCAATTTCTTCAGCCACGTAGTTTCTTGACTGTCCCGTGACTGTGTGGTTGCCCATTTCATGAACGGTGAACAACCCGCGGATCAATTTGCCACCTCCGCCACCATGTCCCGAATCAGACCTCGCCATATCCCGGACCAGACCTCGGTCTCTTCACTCTCTTCATCGCGCGTGGGAGGCACGGAAATCAGTGACAGAGGTTCAAATCACCAGCGCTGTCGCGGGGGTTTTGTGTACTTAGTGAGTGCAAGGGATTGAACAGGCATTTGTTGCTGAAGTTCCGTGATTTGCAACGGTGTGGAGGCTCTCTTTGTGAACATTCTCTCTGAATTAGAGGATATTAGAGGGATCTAGTAGAGGAAGACAGGGTAAGAGAGAATAGCATGAACCACTCCCAGAAAAAGAAACACCAGAGCACAACACAATTCTGCACAAGAGTCCCGCGTTTCTTTTGTTGCACGTCCAAGTCGTCCAGTTGTCTTCCACTCTGAACACCTCCTCAGCCTAAAACCCCATTGGTCCACGTCCAGGTGCCCTTGGGCCGCGGCGGGGGCTTCGGCTCGAAGCTCCAGATCGCGGTCGCCGTCGCCGCCCGAACCGCCCAGCAGAGCGGCCGGTGGTAGCGGTGGCGATTCCGCGACGTCGGTGCCTGACCAGTTGTAGGGAACGGTTGAACGGAAGACATGAAATTGGATGCCAGGTTTTGGTGATGTTTTGGTTAGGGTTTTCATCCTTTACAACACAGCGCTGGCCGCGGTCCAGCGACGGTCGAAGCATACATGTAGTTTTCGTTTGGAGAAATTCCATTGCCCATGCGGTTCCATATAGAATCATCCTGCATGTACTCAGATGGACTCAGTAGATAAAGTAGAACAGATTCGTATTGGTTTCAGGGACTTATAGCGACTTCGAAAGGATCTCCATGTGAACTGTATGGTTTTATGCATGAATGCGTGAGCGAAGGGACATGTTTGGAATGCAGCAGGCGATGCTTTGTCATACGGCATACGTTACTAAAAACCGTCCTACTCACTTTCAGATCTTTGGCTTTGAGGCCTGGCAAGGGGGGGGCCCAAACCCTCCTGCTCCAGGCCAAGCTCTTGCGCAAGCCGCACGTCACGGGTTTGGAGTTCATCGGACACCTGGGGAGATACACCAACAACTCTGCCTGCACTGGCCTCAGAGACCAGAAGCTCTCAGAGACTATCTAGGTGATGGTTTCGGATATTTTATATGTTCAACCCTTACTTGGGAATGATTGGACCCTCTGACTAATATTTTTCAAGTGGGTTGAAAACACCAACCAGCTATTATATATATATATATATTTGCGAAGGAACAGGTGGATCAGGAAAACACACACGTTGGACGTGTATGGTGTGACTGGACAAAGTAAGAAAGATCATGAAAGATCTATTAGTAAGTTGTAGTGGATGCGCCGGAGACCAGACAACCTGTCTTTGGGCGGTGTGTGGGAGACCGCTGCTGGATGGACCCTTCTTGAGGCGTAGGCCCTGTCTTCCTTTTGGGTGCATGTTTCATCCACAGAATCGTGCAAAGACGACGATGTCGAAAGGATCGAGTATTTTAAAACGAATCCCAAGAAGACATGGCTCGTGTATGTTTGAACACAGAAAACGGTCTTAGAATGGTCCGAGATTCGGCCCCCAAATCCGCACAGAAACTGCACACCATCCCAGGTCTTCAACTCCTGGGCGAGGCCGGTTGTGCTTTTCACTCCTGGGAGAGGATGTAGCTCACACGAGCCTGGGATTTTTTGGAACGTCTTCGGAGGTGCCTCGGCGGAATCGGCACTTGGAGGTGGTCGTCAACGACCATGGTTTAATTGATGTTCAATATACAGGACACATGGGACAGGACCCTTTGATGATAACATTCTCGTGATGCGACAATGAATGCGGATCAACGTATCCATCATCGAAATCTATGTCTTGGAGGTGGGCGACGATCAACCATCATCCTGGACTAGGTGAAATATGGGAAGACATCCAAGGCAATGCAACAGACTACAGAGAGTGTACCATATTCTCTACTCCAACAGCAGTGGCAAGCAACCTCGAACCTGCATCAATACCTCCAAACCTGTTCCAAAGTCCGCTTCCAAAAGGTTCCTCTGCTCTTCCGAAGTCGCCGAAGTCGCCGAAGTCGGATCATCCCCGAGCTCTCCGTGTTCTTCCCCGCGCCGCAGAGAGTGGGATGGACATCTCTCCATCTCTGCAGGACACCTTCCGGAGGAGCGGCTGGAGCTGTTTGTTCCGACCCTTCCGACGACCTTCCGGACGTCCACTCGGCTGGATCTCCGCAAAGGAGCTTCAGGAGCGGGGTCGAAGCGTCGACCAGATCGATGGGGGTTCTCGTCGCAGGCCTTGCAGGGTCGAAGATGTGTTCGAGAAACTGAGAAACTAAAATGAATTACAGTGTATATATATTTATTCTTATATATATATACATCTTATACTCTATATACAACTACAACAACAAGAAGAATAACAACATGTTTTTTGTTGTTCAATTGTTTGAACAGCCGCTGCTTCCTATAGTGGTGAGCCTGGTGAGTCCCCCAAGTTCCGAACTGTGAGCGCCACCAAGGGGCTGGGTGCGGAGTCGTTTCACTTCGCGAGTGACGTAGCGAGTGGAAGTCTCAAAGACAACACCTCGTGAGTTCAACCTGGTGTTTACCGTAACCGTTGTTTCCAAAGAACATCCTTGTTTGAACATCCTTGATCAACACCGAACGTGAGCCGCAGTCCAACGAGGCCAAGCAGAGGGTTACACCTCACAGAAATAATATCCGTGCTGTCCGATGAAGGTTTGTCCTATCTGAAGGTTAATGTCACAAGCAACTGGGCGGGTCATGTCGAAGAGTTACATGATTTCTTTGAAGGATGTATGATGTTGGACCAGTCTTGTCAGCGACCTGACTGGTCGCTATCATTGTCAACTTCATCAACAGGCCACTGACTGACCACAGTGACCCCAGACAAGCAAAGTAAAAAACAACTTGAGAACTGTATCACCGGCATATACCGGCTTGACCACCGATATATATATATATATGGTCACGCCCCCCCCCCAGAACCAACCTTTTAACAAAAACACTGGTATTTCCCATATAAAATGCTCATTTTCAGTCTATTTTTTTTGGAAGCATTTTTTGATCAAAAATTTCAGACGCAAAAAAGGAAACACAACAAATGTTAAAAACAAAACAATTGAATGAAAAAACAAAAAACAAAAACCGAGTTTTGTTTTTTGGTTTCTCAGAAAACCAAAAACCAAAACCCCCCAACAAAAAAACATGCCCCTTTTGGTTTTGGTCTGGCCTGTTGGGTATGTTTTTTTTTGTTTTTTGGTTTTTGGTTTTCTGAAAAACCAAAAACCAAAACCCAAATTTTGGTTTTTGGTTTTCCTTGTTGGGTCTGATTTTTTTGTTTTTTTGGTTTTTGGTTTTTGGTTTGGTCCCTGGGGTTTGTATCGTTTTGTTAGTTGGCTTTTGGTTTTTTGCAGGGGGGGTGGCCACATATATAAGTTCATCTTCTTACAAAAGGACACTGCAAAAACCTTCTCTGGTACCCCATCTGCCATACAAAAGGACACTGCAAAAACCATGTGCCATCAAAGGATTCCACTCACCACTGTCTTTAGTTACAGCATAACCATCCAATGCAGAGACTATATCGTTTTTGTTTCTAAAATCCAGTCTTTTAGGGTCTTGCTTTCCCTTCCTTTTTGTTTTTATTGTAGGTGTTGCATATGTTGTAGTAGCAAATCTATTAGGTTGTTCTTGATTAATTTTATTGACTACTGCTGATGCCAGACTATGACTTACCAATCTTGTTATTTCTGGTGACTTTTCTAGTTCCTTTATTACATCTTTGTATTTCTCACTGTGATGAACATTTCTGGTAGGCACCAATAATAGATCATCCATAATATCTTTTGTTAAAGATCCATCACGGCCACCTGTCCCTATAAAGTCTTACCTGTTTTATAAAACCCACTTGGTGTTGAATAGGCATTCCATAAACCTCTGCGGTCTTCTATCTTTTCCTTATTTGCTACATTCCTTTCTTCAGCATATAGTGTTCTATGTTGCCTAAAGTGTTCATTTAAATTTCTTGTAAAGTCATTCATTCTATCATTCCAGTTCTTGTTCTTTTTTTCATAATCACCATAGGTTTCTTGACCAATCTTACCTATTAACATCTGGGCACCTCTTCTACCCAATTGTTTTAATAAGTCCCTATCCACCACTTCCTCTAATCCTTCCCTTGTTAATAGTCTTCTTATTGCTTCTTCACCTCCTCCTCTAGCTATTAACCTTTGTAATGCCCTTTCTGCTACTTCCCTACCTGCTTCTCTTGCAAGTTGTGTAGCTACTGCTCTACCTGCTGTGCCTAATATACCGATCATTTATATTATGTTTTATAAAAAATCTAAACAATAAGTATAATGAATAAAAGTTTAACTTATAAAAAGGTCTTTGTTGATAGTAACTACAAATTACCACAGTCCAGATCATCAGCAGATTTTGTTATTGAACTGAATGAAAACATGGAATGTCCTCAAGGCACTAAAATGTATATTTCAGAGGTCAGTATTCCAGCAGTGTGGAAAACAACAGAGGTAGGCTTTTATGAAAATCTATATTTTATGTTGTATAATGACAGTGATCTATTGTTAAGAAGCTCACAGGTCTATTTAGGAAATAAGATCTATTTTGCTGAGCAATTAAGTTTTGATATGGTTCAAGGCATGAATGATAAAGTCAGGGATTTGAATGCGGGTAATGATATTTTTGTTTATGCTTATTCATCAGCAACCAGAACAGTAGAAATTAAAGTGGCAGATGGATTAAATTTTAAGTTAAAAATTCCTACAGACTCTGAATTAGCAAACTATGTAAGCAATACATGGAATGGTGCTTCTAATGGGCATGATGTTTATGACAGCACACGGCCACTATCAAAAAGTTATTTGTTAAGTAATTATGTTCCAACTTCTTTACTGACCACTTGGACTTCATGTTCCAACTTCTTTACTGACCACTTGGACTTCATCTTATTGAAACCTTGTTCCATTCAGAGCCATCTATATTAATAGTCCTGACTTAACAGATCATCATTATTCAGCACCTAATTCATTTTCATTATCCATCATCCAAAAGGTTCCAATGATCATATTGGTCTTCATTCTGACTATATTGATGTTTCAAATAAGAACCTTAAGAGATTATCATTTAGAATAACAGATGAGAAGAGCACTACAATGAACTTATATGAAATTCCAGTGCAATTTTCATTAATCTTCGAGCACCCAAGTTATTAAAATTGAATAAGCATAAGCAATAATATTACTTCATTCTAATATTATTGTTTCTATTTTTTACCTATATTTTTCCTAGGATAAAAAATATCTACATATTTAATAATGCCTGATATTAAGGTTGTATATAAGTGTTAATGAACATGAAGAAGTCAAGCAAGAAGAAGAAGCACCAGAAATAACAGAAGAGGCATGCCATGGACACCTAGTGTCAGCCTCATTGCCAACGTGTGAAAAAAGTGCATCTGTGTGCCTGCAAATACTTGTGGCTTTGCATATTGAAATCCCAAGGTCTATGTCCTCCTGTCAAGCAAGTATCTGTAATGGACATTAATGTTTCCTGCCATGGCTCTTCAATGTTCACAAAGGAAACGCTACAATCATGATCTCTCCTGCATTCACAAAAGCATGCTTCTGAACTTGTTGTCTGCTACTTTGTCTGTGTCTGGCAACAAGCATTTATCAAGCAATTGTCTGTGATGCAGTGATGCACATCAATGTTTCCTGGTATGCTTCTGCAATGCATCCTGTCCTGTCCTGCATTCACCAAAGCCTGTTTCTGAACTGTATAGATGGCACTCTCTTTGGCAGAAGAGGTTGTAAGATACTGTAACTTTTTTTGAAAACACAACATCTTAAGTTGGAATCCTTCGCACAGGGTTGCTTTTTTGGCTGCAAAGGTTGGTTCTGGGGGGGGGGGCGTGAGCATATATATATAGGTACGGACCATTTTCCTCCCCTCAAGATGCCGCCGGGCTTTTTCTGAAACATTTGCTATGAAGCATATGAAACATTCAAATTCCCCCCAAAAATGTCAGTGCCCCTATGGCCGTGTTTTTCATTTCCATCAATTCCAAATCGGAGATCGACTTTCGTCCCGCTTCGCGACATTAGCATGGTGGGGGGCTGACGCCGTTTGCATGGAGGCAACTCTATGGCAGCCAAGCCAATGGATCGAGTCCTTCTTTCAGCACTTCTCGCTGCTTGGCGAGGCACAACGCGAGCGGCAAGTAGGCGGAACAGATGGAAGGAGTCGATTGGCTGAGCCCTTGCTTCTTGTTTCGCTTTGTTTCGCCACCGACTCTGCAGAGCTGCACTGAGAGCGTTGAGTGAGCCGGACCCAACAGGCCGAGTATACTAGGTTGATGCAACGCTCGGGTAGAGGGTTACTAGGGTAGAGTTCCCAGGGAAGTTCCCATGGTGCTGTTTCGGGCTCTCCTTGGGTGTCATGGTTGCTAAAGTGACTCGCCAGATGACTGTGACATGGTGTCCAATTCAGGTTGCTAAAGCAAGATTCACGGCAACGCCAGAATTCGGTTCGCCAGATATCAACCCATTAGTCAAGGCTGTGCTACCCGAAACACATATCGGCCATGCGATGTGCTGCAGGTGTGCATATTAAGAACTCAACCTACCAGTAGAGATTCGGAAGCTGAATGGTCAAACTGCATATGAGGGAGTTTTGGGCGGCCTAGGCCTAGTCAACAGTCAAATACTGGTTCCACACACCAACAGCCGGAAGGAGAACACAATTGGCCAGTCATTCCTGTCGCTACCCTTCACAGCTACCCCGAGAACCTAGAGTGATAAGGGGCAAGACCTTGTGTGCTTTATACACCATATGAACGCTATGAACGTAATGGGCTTTCATTGCAGAAAGATTATAGAAATATGAAGTCCTTCCGTCGAAAGGGCAAAAACATGTCAGCAACAGCATACCGAACTATACTGTATGGACATTGGACTATTGTTTTGAACATTGGAGTGATTTTAGGAGCCAATAATGGTTGGTCAGTATGTATCCATCTATCTATATCTATACAGATTGGCAAGTAGGCGATTCATATTACTTGCATGGAGTCTTTTGAGACGGAGTATGATGGAGTTTTATTGTTTTGGCGTGGCCATTGAACACTTGCTGTAGATAGATGTATGTTTCAGTGGTAGTTCTGACCTGTTTCTGCCCACTCTTTGGCGTTCTGGCGTCAAAACTGAGGCGTGATCTTGGCTGGGAGGTGCATTGCTCAGACTCAGTGGGAGGTCCAGTTGACACATCCTGAAGATCCTTTGGTCGTTTTGTCGATGGGAATCAGGTGGAGAAGGTTACAGTACGAGTGGAACTGTAATGACTTGCTGGTAGCTTGCAAAAACTGGACTTCCTAAGCGTGCGCGGACAAAGGTCAAGTCATCATCAAAAGCTTTCAGGCCAGGCATTGTGAGAGTAACATCAGTATGGCCAAGGAACAGTTGGCATGTCTCAAAGTCGGCCCACTCAGGCCTCGCTGCCCTTGCTGGCGCTTCACATCCGGCGTGGGGACAAGGCACGATTCACGGCGAGACATGGCGGGAAACATGGCGGGAAGCTTAGACCGTTTGCTTCTAGGTTTACGACGAGCCTGGACAATCTCGTTGGCTGGGTATGATTGATTTCGAAAGAGTGGAAAGGCTCGTCGACCCACCGGCTCTTTTGGGGGGGGCACATCCTCGTCTCCACATCCCAGCCGACCGGGCCGTGTGTCCCAGAGTGTCCTTCGCAGGAACCGCGTGGTGTGTGCAACCGTCCGTGTTCTCCGACTTTAATTACCGGGCCCGAGAAAATAGGTCAGTGACTGGTTGACGATGGCTAAGGGATGCTAAGGGTATCCAAGACAGAGTTCTGGTAGCAACTAGATTGTTTCAGTGGGAGGAGCCACCTGGATAGGCCAACCTGCGGCCAGATTTTGTTTTGTTTTCATAGGTGCATGACATTGGGGTTGTAAGCAATGCTTTTTCATCTCAGGGTGTGGGTGGGGCACCCCACATCTCCGCCCGCTGGATCAAACACATCCCCTGGTCTATTGTTGTGGTAACACAATTACCAAGAGATATTTGCAAGTCTCATCACCATGTGAACACACCACTCACCACTACTATACCATCAAGTTTTGACTGAAACAGAATGAAGACACTGGCAGCATTACCACAACTACCACAGCCACACACCCGACCGCCACTGCTACCTCTCCTAGTCTGCAATGTGGTAGGTAATTACAAGGAAA